CAGAACAAAGAAAAAGAAGGAAAAGAGAATGAAAAGAGAAGAAGAGAAATAAGTGTAGCAATGAAATGAACAGAGAAGGAAAGAAAGAATGAATCAGATATACAGTGGCGGAGAGGTAACTGCAAAGAAAGGGAACACCAATAAAGAGTCATGAGAACTTTAAAGTCCTGAAAATATGGTTACGTTCAAAATAAGTTCATTGAGACATGAAACATTATAGTTGTTGATGCATTTCTGAATTTCCATGATCTCAAGGAGATTTAATCTAGGAGCTCCATTACAGATATAAAGAATTTCTGAATTACTAACATCATCAAAAGAATCTATAATATGATTATTATTATATTACAACGGTAGGCAATATAATATTGCAAAAAATCAATGAAATTCTTCACGAAAAGAAATGCGCTTTTCTTTCCAGAAAACACTTACCATTGGCCCAGCATTTTTAACGCAAACCTCTGCTCAGAGGCGGCGTTACCCCTGATTTATAGATACCGTAACGCACCTCAACGTAATAATCAACATTTCGCAATCAGTACCATAAAACGATGAAATGAAGTGGGCATTCATAGATTTTCCTGAATTTGACACCCGCCAATCTTGTCATATTAATATGTATTATTATTCAATTTTGTTCGGACTATCAAACATCATCTTTGGAATTATATACCATTGTTTGAAAGCACGAGGATCAATCTCTTCAAGCTATTCCAATTTCACCAATGGATGATAACCTACGAACTGAATATTTGGCACTACTACAGCTGGAGTTCTGTTATGTGCGGCAGCAAAAGGAACATTCACAAAACACCATTAAAAAAATGGTATCTTACATGATCTCTGAAGCACAGTTTTTATCAATTACTTCATTATCGATGGATGAATTAATTAAATCTACCAGGTATATTATTCATAGTCTGTACTATATCCGTGCAATCTCCTTCTTACAACTAGTCTCCTTCATGGCATTGTTATTTTTCTAATAACTGTTTGACATATGAAATAGAATGATTCTTGATAGGGCTTCTCAGAACTCCGTAATCAAAATATTGTCTGTAGAACAATCATTATATAAGAAATATCTTGATCAATTCCTAATTCCAACCTCCTTTCTGCATGACGTTCTGTCACCGTTCCACAACGGGAACATAGAAAGATGGAAATGGGCATTTCTCGCTATGCAGCCACGATCAGTCTTTTGTGGAACGAAATTCTATAAACAGTACTAGAAAAATCCTATGTTTCATCCTCTATCGTGTAACGAAAGTAGGTACTTGCGATACGTTATGTTTATTGAATCTATAAATCACAATGTGGGAAATGTAGAAGGGAAAAAGGTGTATTTTGAAGCTAAGGGCGTCCATTTTGTTCGAAAATAAACGATCACCACTGGAATTAGCGTCCTCTGAAATGGATCTGTACCACAGACTTCGGTACCAAGTTTCATGAAAAAGTTTGCAACATTAACGAATCTACAACGTACCTCAGCTATTAATCGTGGGTTCTTCGCCAAACTGGGACCGGTGCGAATTGCCATCAATATGATCAGTTTTTCAGAGACGAACATATACTGTTAGACAGTGCCGTGCTTCTTTATTTAATTTAAAATGGTGCAATATCTTGTGAAAACATATTGGGAGTTTGTTTGCAAGAAAACTAACTTTATATTATTTATTTTATTCTCATGCTTTCGAACCTCGAATATGCAAAAATCATCTAATTCCAAATCAACAGAATTAGCTTCATTTTTTTGATTTTCAGTCTCGGGAAATAGTGAATTCGAATTAACTGCAAACTTTGGGACGTCCAATACCTCCGGCAGGTATAAAATCGTGATTTGAAAGAAAAAAGAAGAGATACTATTTTATGTTGAACTCATCGTTACAGAGTAAATGATTATAACGTTCGCAAAAATGCTGTTCAGATGTGTCTGTTTTCTGAAACCCTCCATAGGAATCATATGAAGATTCACATATGGGGGTTTGAAACTATGAAGAACAATATTATTAGGTCAGCTTCCCTGTGAAAATATTCCTAATATAATTTCATCTAGAAATAGCCCCTCTTCATTTTGATCAAAACGCACGGCACTAATCATATCGATGGTCATTCATACCGGTCCCAATTTGGTGAAGATTGCACGACCACGCACGAATAATAGGTGAGATATACAGGGTGACGTTTTGAAAACTTCCCACCCTCAATACCCAGCGAGCACAAAAACATCTCAGAGATGTTAAAAGTACGAGATTTCGAGACATTGAACCTCCACTGCGATGTTCTGTTCACACATGAATAGAACTAATATAGAAATATTGAATGAAAAAATGCATTAAAAATAGATTGAACATAAAAATATTTTCTTGATATGAAATTACCTTCTTAATCGGTTTCTGAGTAGTGCTTACTACACACAGACATATAATTGGGAATTGATTTCCCAATTTTCGAAATGTTCTCCACAATGCATAATTTTGCAACGGAGAAGCTGTGTATTGATGAATTCGTACTTTTATATATCGATTACACTGAGGCACCGACCAAGACATCTTGCATCTGATGGTCATTATTACAAACTAAATAAGTCTTCTAACACAATAAACTTCACCAAATTCCTTTCTGTTCGTTAGCAGCGTGATGTACCCAGATAACACACATACATCCATTGGATGTCCATTTTGAATCCATTAAGTAGCCGGATGTCCATGGATGTCCAATGGACATCCATTGTGTATATGTACAATGGACATAGAGATTTGTACATACAATGGACATCCATTTTGTAGTTGTACAATGGACAACGAAATTTTTACAGCCAATGGATATCCATCATACTTATCCAATGGAAATCGTTTCGCAAAGTATATATGTGTCATTTATGACTCTTCTCTTTCAATTGAAATATTTTTACCAATAATATATAATATATATATGAACATTAATCACGGACAACTTCGCACTCGGTACTATTTTTCAAGATTTTATACGTCTCATAATTTTTGTAGGTTACGTACCTATATAGAGGTAGGTACTTATTTTAAAGTTGATTTTCATCAAATTTCAATTTTAAACCATTTAGGCCGTGCAAATAAGATCGATATGGGCAAATATTATACGGCGAGGTTTCTTTCGAAAAAGATGAATCACCCTGTAACACTTCTGATAAGGGCCGTGTAAAAGCTTTATTGCGGCACTAAACTTCAGCAAATTGCATTTTCTCTCGATGTGAAATACCGTGAATACGAAATACTTGCTATAATATTTATAACAGCTCAGTGGTCCAGAGGTTAGCGTTGTGATCCACGAGAGCGGGGTCGGGAGTTCAATCCCCTCAAAGGACAACTTTTTTTTAATTTCTACGTTCTGGCTGGACAAAATTTGGATATCCAATGGAAATCCAATGTATTCCTGATGAGTATCCAATAGACTTATCATTGGAATGGACATAAGTTGGATTTTTGGTAGACATCCATTAGAGTTCTGATGTGTATACAATGGCATTTCAAATGTAATGGACATACAATGGATCTTCATTGGGAATCCATCGGATGTCTGATGAGTATCCAATAGACTTCCAATGGAAAGGACAAATATTGGATGTCCAATGGAAATCCATCAGATGTCTAATGGAAAGCCAATGGACTTCCAATGTATGTCCAAACTGTTGGACATGTATTATCCAATGGATGTCCATTGGACAAATACTGGACAATGCCGTCCATCCAATGGATGTCCAGGGTATCCATAGCTGGACATCCATTGGTTGTCCAATGGATTCACTTGTGTTGTCTGGGTAAGCGTGACAAGCTGCAAACGCGAATGCCAATTGCGAACAAGAAGAAGAAAATCGAAAACAAATCAGAATTCATCGTATTCTGAAGTGGGGCAAACAAAGAAAGAGCACAAAAGAACAAAAACAATACTTTCAATATCCTTCTAAGACCTCTTTGGTCAGTGCATATTACGCCTCAAAATAACATCTTCATGCCAACATTTTCAAAACATCCCAAAACAACCCAGGGATGTTTGTGCTCGCTGGGTACCTTCCTTCCAGTAAGCTATATGAAAAATCGCGAAGACATGTCAATTTTATTCTCAAGGGAGACACTTCAAATGAATATTTTTAGCCGTCTTGAATCAACCCCCTAGAAGGGGTTAGATGTTATCCTTGGAATCTCAAATGGGAAGGGAGGTCAAATGTTACATCATTTTGAAGGGCGCTCAATTCTCTTCAGTACCCTAGTTCATCAATTTCTGTTGAGCAGTCCCCGAAAAATGCCGTGTCGATTAAAAAACTTCCTACCCTTTCAGTAAATTTAATGAAAAATTGAAAAAAAAAGGTCAATTTTATTTCTAAAGAAGACACTTGAAATGCAAGCCCTTTTAGTTCAAAGTGTCACCCTGTAGATGGAGGGGGGTGTTAGAAGTAAGACACTGTAGATTTGTTAATGTTGGGTATTTTGGGTTGGGTAACAGTGGTGTACGCGGATCTTTTGTGCATCGTTAATATTGATTAATTATTCTGGGTTTTTTATGCATCTGAAAGTGATCTAGTAGGCCTTGGATTTGATGGAATGAACGTCGCTAAGCTTCAAAATACACCTTTCCCTCCTCTACATTCAAAAAAAAAAATGTGAAAATCGCTCCATGAATAAAAAATGTATGAGGGTGGCCCGCTTTCAGATGAGTCACTTTGCATAAGCAGGGACGGGCCTAGGGTTGGGTCCAGGAGGTCCGGATCCCCTTCCTCCCCCTCCCCCTCTCTCCGAAATCTTGGCGTAAATCCGATTTTTTCCTTCTTGTTCGAAAACAAATTTTGAATGAGCATTTCTTTTTTTGCTTGGACCCCTTCCAAAAAAAATCCTGTGCACGGCCTCACATATAAGTACTCGAGAACCAAATGTTTCCATCAATTTATAGGTGAGAAAATTATTCGTCTTACTAGAAAAAGAAATCGAAATGAAAAACGGGAATACATAAAGGAATACATACTTTTTCATACAAAAATATAAACTTATATTCTACATAATACAATTTTTCATAGTACCTATCTGTTTATAATTGGTCACATCGATATCGATTCATTTCAATCAGAATAAACCATTTCAGTTAAGCAAAAATATGCTATCTCTTTATATAGATTACATATATAAGTACACTAACTATTTACATTCTCTCCTTGAGCCCTTATTTATTCTTCTTAGATATTAGGAAATAAAACCAGTCACTAAATGAGTCTGAGGTCAAAGAAGTAGGTTATACGAAAATCTTCCATCGTCTCCCACAACGCAGAAACCGAACTAATCCTAATTAAATGTACAAGAATACTATAATTATATGGCAATATCGAACGTCGTCACAACATCGAAAAAGTTCACTCTCACTTCTCGCCTTTTTCTATGGGATTTCCCTTATCGTCGATCTCTAACGAAGGTACCATCGGAGGCATAAATCCATACTCCATTCGGACGCTATTATCATCGAACTGCCTGGCACTTCTGAATCTCCTCATGTAAGTTCGCCCATCTCCTATTCTTGGAGGTAACAGTCCAATGTGGTCATTAGAGTTGACTCCTGTATGACCATGAGTGCAATCAGCAGTAGTTGCAGGAGGTAAATACCCAGTACTGAACTGCTTGGGTGGTAAGTACCCATTGTTTATCACAATTTCTTTTCTTGGAGGAAGATATTGGTTGATCTGAGGTGCATAAGCATAGGGATTGGAAAAGAAAGCTTGTTGCTGTGATTGTTGGGCGTTCTGTTCGAGGATATGTTGGTAAAGTCCTCTCTGATATGCTTGATTTACTCCAATTGGATGAGGTCTGGGAACTTCTACTCTCACGTAGAAAGGTTGTGGTACGGGCACTTTGACTTCTACTGGGTAGGGTCTATCAACGTAATGAGGTACAGGCTTCTCCACAATTTTCTCCACAGGATACGGCCTGTCTACATAGTGAGTGACTGGTTTCTCCACAATTTTTTCCACAGTCACTGGCTTATCAATATAATGGGGAACATGTACTTTCTTCTCAACTATCTTTTCTACTGGATAAGGCACCTTCACTTCAACTGGATAAGGCTGCCTGATGATATTATGAACGAGCTTTTCCACTGGATACGGTTGTGGATAAGGAACACGTACTTCAACCGGATAGGGACGATCAATGTATCGAGTTACCTGTACCGGAATATGCACAGGTTTCTCTACAACTTTCTCTACTGGATATGGTTGTGGCACAGGTACAGGCTTCTCAACATATTTGGTTATGTGAACTGGCTTCTCTACCACCCTCTGATACGTAACAGGTACAGGTATCTGTTTCACAACTGGGTAAGGCACTTCATAAGGTACTCTAACTGGGTAAGGCTGTTGAATTATCCTCGTGATTTCAGGAGGATTTTGAGTAAGATGGACTCTATACAGGTTCGAATTTTTGTTATCATTTTCAGAAGTTTCTTTTTGATTATTTTCGCGATATTTATGTTGATATTCAGAGATTTGTTGTTGAAGGTCTTGAATTATTTGTGTACTGGCCAAAGAATCTCCGGTTATTTGGGCTGAACTTTCCACATGTCGCTGTGCCTCCTGGAATTGATCTTTTATTTGTGAATTTGGCAGTTGCTGTGCAGTTAAATGATTATCAACTTCGTCGAAAGGCCTCTGCACCAATTTTTCCGCTCTAGGTGGCTCAGGAAGGAGCAAAAGAATTTTTCCCAATTCCAGATCTCCCTTTGCTCTATAATCGATGCTATTCTCGAAGGAGTAGTTTGCACTTACTTGTTCATCTGAAGCGACGGGATACTCGAATTTTCCTAAATAATAAGGAACGCTTTCTTGAATCTGCACATATTCGTTGGATTTCTGTTCGGTCTTATCATTCTGTTCATAATGTTCGATGTTTTGCAGTCTTATACCAGCAGTGATTGGTGCCAAGAACTGGGTACTGATAGGTCTAGGTGTCACTACTATGGTGGAAGGTGATTCGTATGTTGTCGAAAATGATTCAACTGATTTTGCAGTAGTTGAGAACGATTCTGCTTGTTCTTCTGCTTGAATTGTAGATGAAGAATACTGCGCGTTTCCTTCTTCATAATCGGCGACTACTATTGGCTGTTCTTTGAAGGTATTTTGTGTTGATGGGCAAGGAGTTGTTGACACGTAAGTGACTTGAGGATTATCTTTATTTGATTCCTGATTAACTGTCGAATATTGGACAGTGCTGGACTCTATACTAGTTTCTTGCTGTTTGGTGATTGCACTATTGATATCCAGAACATCTTGACCAGACACAAGGTGCTGAGTAGTTTCTATCAATTTATTGTTAGGTTTTTGTTTAGTTGGATTTATTTTTAAACCAAATTCTTGGTAGTTATTTTGATCAAGGTTTTCGGTTTCAATTACTTCATTTACTCCTTGCTGTTCATAGAGATTCTCTTGTGAATCTGCTGCTTGCTTTTCGATTGATATTCCTTCTGTTTGCTGCTGTTGATTAGGAAATACGAGTATTTGTTGATGTCCGAACGACAAGTTTTCAGGTTGCTGAGGGTAAACGACGTTTTCAGCAGGCTCATTTTTACTTTTTTCACGATTATATGCATTATTTGACGGTTGCTCTTGTATGACAATTTGTTGTTGAAACTGTGCTAAAGGCTGCTGAGGATTACGGAAATCAGTTTGCGGCTCTGGAGTTTGCTGCTGTTGATTCTCTTCAATCCGCTGTGACTCTTGATTATTCGACTGGAATGAAGAGAAATGCTGTGAGTTTTCTGCATGCTGTCCTTGTATTGTTGGCTCAGAATTCCTCAGGAGTACTTGTGGCCCTTGCTTGTTCAAGTTGCCTGTTTCAGGCAGGCCTTGGAGTTGTGGCTGATTGTTCTGGAAATAAAGAAAGAATATATGCGAAGAAGTTTCCAAGTAGAAAAAATAAGGTTATGTTACATGAGAAGAAACAAAGAGAAAATATGACGTCCATACACAAAAAAAGCGTTCTTTTCTGAAATATTATCAGAATGGGGTATTTCCAATTCAAAAAACAATAATGATAACGTCATCATAAATATAAGTAGATCAACCAAATTAGGCACTGAGAAAAAAATCGACGTATCTGAGGTTTTTTTTCCACTGACCATATCAAGCTTTCAACGAATTCTTGAATTTTGAGAAATCAGGTGAATATAAGCATCCACTGAAATAAGAGCGCGTACGTATCAATAAGGTGTATTTGTCATAACCACCATTAAAGTTCTTCAGTACTCATACTCAACATCCCTCGTATTTGAAACCAGATGCACTGGAAATAACTATTTTATTCATTATTGATGACTCCGTTCACGAACTGAGTTGAATTATGCTTGAATCTTGACAATGAATAAAAATCACGATGCTGAGATCATTCATTGCCTGTACACTCGTCTTCAGAAAACATGTCGCAAATGGACGGTGTCAGCTTTCTAAATCACCAATGAAATAAGAGCGAATACAACGTTCAACCGCGACTTGTTTTCTGAAGACGAGTGCAAGGACCGAGGTGTATTTGTCGTAAAACCATTCAAGTTCTCTACTATTCATACTCAATATTCCTCGTATTTGAAATCAGATGCATTGGAAATACCCATTTCATTCATTATTGATGACTCCGTTCACGAGCTGAGTTGTATTCTTCTTCTATATCGAGGAATCATGTAAATACAAGCATTCCTTGATTATTCTATATAAAAATTAAAATACCTACATAAATAATTTTCACTTTGAGAATCTATCGCGAATCGAATAAGGCAGCATTAGAATTTGTATGGTAATGTTATTCATTAAAATGAACCAGTTCCTTCCAGTGTATCTGGATTCTGCAGAAGTCGTTTATCTAGTTTACTTTCTTCAACTTCACTTTCAACGAATTAACTCATTCAAACCAAGTGAGCTCATTGAACGTTTTTATTGACACCTTCTAATATTAATATGATATTGGTTCAATTCTCGAGTAAATTTTGTCTCATTACCCAACTATTTTTATCATCCCCTACTGATAACCAAGGGCGGTCTTATAGGGTGAATCTCTGTGGGGGTAATACATTATAACTCTCAAGAATGATATATTTATGTTGCTGTTTCTCTTATTTCTATGGACTCCAGAGCCGTTTTACAGTTTCAAATTTTCCACGGCATACAATTATTGTTTGCTGCGATTCATATTCATATAGTCACAACTATTGTGACATATGCTTAGGGCAGATAGTTTAGACTCAAATATGGCGTAGCACCAACTATGCCGTGATGGAATATTGCTATGGAAAAAGATACAGGGCATTAAAGTTGATTTTTTTCATCGTTTTTTTGCTAATAATGCCACTGTATGTTCATCAGTTATCATTGAAATTGGCACAGAGGCATAATCTTATACAGGGAATATTATAGTATCTATATCATTCTACAGTTTCTTTACAGGGAGCGCCACGTGAATGACTTCTGATGATGAAATCGACTGGTAACTTTCTTTGACGAATATTTTCAGTGATTTAGATTAGAAAATATGACATATACATAATTTTCACGTTTGTTTGAACAGTTTTAAGTCTCGGAAGAGGATTTCAGACATTATTTGAATCAGGAAGAGTGTGCTTTGGACTATCAAATAGTTGCTGGTAAATTAAATTTCGTGTTAGTGAATAAATTTTGGTGTGGGTTTTCAGTAAATACTTTTTGATTGAAACCCCCTGTATCTTTTTCCACAACGCATAGATTAACGACTCCATATTGGTTCCGCCATATTTGATTTTTTAATTTTTTTTTCTACCTAAACCATTCCTGAACTATAACGAAATAAACAAGAAAAATTATCCAAATCAGTCGAGCCGTTTACGATTTTATCGAGGACATACAGACAGACAGACAGACAAACATTCATTTTTATAGAGAAGATGCAGAATAATTATTTTTATTCTGATCTGATTTTTTATCCAAGAATGGTAATAGGAGTGAATGCCACATTCTGACAACGCTGTAACGTATAACCTGTTTGGAGCGTGCACGGCGCTATAAATAGACCACAGACTGTCTGGACCTCGGATGAATTATTCGCACCAAGGATACTGGAGACATCTGTGTATGTTCTGTTTCACTAATTTCAGTGTTGACCAAATCTCCATTCACGGTGTATATCTAGGGGAGTCGTTAATCTATGCACAACGATATTTTATAGAGGCATATTTGGTCCTATCACCATATTCTGGTCCCAACAATTTGCCCTTAGCCTATGTCCTAATAATTATTTTTATCCTGTATAATGCATGCTGTTTCACACTGCATCGAAATGACCAGTTTGCAATGTGTTTTTGTAAAAAAATCTATGTTTTGCTAATTTTTACGTTCTTAGCTGGGAGAAACCATATGAGAATAGTAACATTCAATTCGCATCTGATTATGCTCAGAATAATACATGAAATACCAAAAATCCACCAATAATAATAATAATAATGATGAAATGTCTTTATTTTAATTATCCTCGGCGAAGTCCAGTCAAAACTGTTCTACTCAACCGAGTACTCAAAGACCCACGAATCACTAAAATAGAGAAAGGTCGCCTATTTCCAGAAAGCTCTTGAAGGTGTCAACTTTTTTTCGATTAACTTTCGCTCAATAACACAGATCAATATGTAATTAAATATGATATAACGAACTGAACAATCATCGTGAAGAAAATTCGGGAATGAAAATAAAATCAAACTCATACACTTTTTACTATGTGAAAAATGTTCTAATTTCGGATAGGACGGTATCCTAATTTCGGATATCATCAATTACTACTATAAAAAATTGGGCGCCAATTTGGAAGTTGATGCTGACATAGGTAGAAGAAATAATAGCAGAAATGAATTTCTTAGAAAAGTTGCATATATATTGATGTCGTTCTCTCATTGTTGCGCTTATCCGAAATTGGGAACTCGTAAGTATCCGAAATAAGGATTTTTCACCTGTTTACTGGTAAAATTCATAACATGAACAGTGGATTTGGTTGAATTATAACAGATATAACATATGTCTTTATAAAGTAGTAATTAAAAAAATCCTCTAGTGAATATCATAAAAGATACGCCAGTGCATTTTTTTTCTTTCATTCAATATTATTCTCCTCTATTAAGAATTGGAATGTCGGCAAAATATGATTCTTACTTCTTTGTACCTACTTTTTTTGACTCTTCCAATGTGAAATAATAACAATCAAGTGAGTACTTGTCATGTTATTTCAATCCGTTCTTGTGACAGTGAAGTTTGTCGTCTTCTGTACTTGTGATCCAAGCTTCTTCAACTAACTGTTTTAGTATAAATTTGGTCTTAATTACCGTTATCATTATTAGTAATAAATTGTAATAATACCCAATTCTTATTTTTTAATGAAATTAAAACAAAATTGACTGATTTCCCATACTTAATAAATCAATTTTGAATTCCAACTTCTTGTCATTCCAAATTACTCGCATTGATTATTTCAAATCCCAATAACTCGAAAACAGTTGCTCGTAGCGACCTCTACCAGAAACATATTTTTCACACAAAAGTGTTCAAGAAATTCATTTTTCTACTATAAAACTTCATACAGGTAGGCACAAGAAGTTATGACTTTTTAAAATACTCAAAAAACATGTAGGTGGCGCCACCCCCACGAAAGAGACAAACTAACATAAAATTTGATATTGTAATTGAAGAATACCCCTAGATACCAAATGTTATTCCAATATCACAATTATTCTGAAATTTATTAACAAAAAACAAAAATGAGAATTCAACTTTGACACTCTGTATCTCAGAAACGGATAACTTTCGGACCGATGTTTATACGAATTTTCTACACGTACTTAGGAAACACTCTGTATACTAAAAATACATCTAGTTTTAATCTTCAAAAAGTACTCCAAATGAAAATTGGAAAAGTCATCTTAAAAAAAGTATACCCTAATAGCACACAACGTCCTAGGGACGTCCCTATTTGGTACAATTCACGTCCAAATGTCCCGAACCAAAAATAAGTGACCTTGGGACGTCCCATCCCGTACATCTCATGCAATGTCCGAGCAAGGACGTCCACGGAATGTCCCAGCTGGTACATCATTTCAAATGTCCTAGAAATAGCATCCCTTAGACGTCCCACGTGGTACATATTGTAGAATGTCCATGCAAGGACGTCCTTGGCATGTCCCTGATGGGATATGATTTTCAACGTTTCTTTAGGGACATCCATCGGATGTCCCGAATAGTACATATTCTGGCATGACTTCAGATCTTATATAATGCCCCTTCTGACAACCATGAAATGTCCCTAATGGTACATTCCTTCAAATATCTCTGCACACACGCCCTTAATATTCCCAGGATCGTATAACAATCGAAATGTCCCTCAGGGACATCCTTCGAATGTCCCTTACGGATATCCGTCGGATGTCCCAATTGGTACATGAACTGTACTCTTCCAATGTCCTAGAAATATCGTCCTATGGAAGTCCCAGTCGGTACTTTCAATATGTTGTCCCTGCGAGGACGTTAACTTACACCTCGCCGACGAATGATTGCTCGTAGGCTATACGTACTCCTCGTCAATGTTCTTCACGTAAGTCCATTAGACATCGTTGGGAAACTTTTTGGGGACCTTCTACGGACCATCAACTCAACTGGATGTCCTGATCAGTTATGCAAGATCTGGTTCTAAAGGGACCCAGAAAAATTCAAATTCAAGAATAATTCGTACGTCCCTGGGACATCCTATGGACATCCAATTGATATCCCTCGTTCCTGATAGGTTGTCCTATGGATGTCCTAAGGATGTCCCCTGTAGTGCTTGATGGGGAATACTGTAGGATTTAGGTATTCAATAGTTGTTCCAGGAACATCCTTCAAGGACGTCCCTAGTTGGTCCTCAAGTGGGACATTTGTGCGTCCCACAGACGTCCAATGGCCGTCCACGGTACCAAATTCGAACGTCCTATGGACGTCCTGAATGTCCCGACAGGACGTCCTAAGGATATCCATGGGACATAAGTGTGTTATTAGGGTATCAACTGGACGTGGACAGAACCCAAATTATCAATCGATTGAAAATATAACATTGAAGTCTGATATTACGATGTCATTCTACTAACCTCTTTATTTTTGAGTTGCTGAACGGCTTCAAATCCTAAAGCAAATCGTGCCCTAGATTTACTGTGAGGGCCAGCGTTGCTATACTCTACAGCGGGATGGAACCCCCAGTCATCTGCAAAGTAGCGCACATCCTGGTTCGAATCCTTGCCCTGGACATAGTATCTGCAAAATGATCGAACAAAAATATTGTTGTTTCAAGATAGTTAGCATAGAGATGTATAGATATTTAACTGGTGCGCTAGCTCCCTATTGAAGGTCGTTTGCAAGTTTCTCGATGGCGCCTACTATGATAAACCTTTGATAAACATACTTGACGTGGGCAAATCTCGCTAAGCTCATCCTGGTTACAATCCATATTTACAGGAAACATATTACCGACCGATAAATATTTGGATACATATATGATTTGGATCAGAGCAGTGAACTGATTTCTGATCAAAGGATCGAAACGTCAATATGTCAAAAATATTCTTGAGCTGAAAAAATGGTTATTTTTGGAATTGGGGTCAAGTGTTCGTTAGGGACATTTTCCGTTTCTAAATTTTGTGAATAATACATAATCTACCATAGAAAAAAGAAAATCTCTGTTCTACAACAGTATTATTTCAGTGATTTGAAATATAAGCGTGAACTGGTGTGAATAAATTCTAAGGTGAGTACCAGTTACCATATCTGCCTATTATGATTTTCGATATTGGTCTATTTCTATAGTTGATACATTTTTTGTTCTGGTTCTTCAAAGAGGAAATTCATCAGATTTCATGCTTTAAATAGGTGCATATGTCATGAAAGAAGTGAAGCTTATTAAAATCGGCTACAAAAAAGATTTCTTGCTTCCATTTCAAATTGAAATTTGAATGAAAATGTTGAGCACAGTATTCATTCGGCCACAGAACAATGATGGAAATAGATTCATCCCTCACAGAACCAAGGTTTTGAACGATTTTCCGATTATTGCGCCTCTATCGTCAAATACCTGAACCCCACGTCCAAAACTCGCTTGCAATTGTTCCATATCGAGAGTTAGTCTGACGAAACAATTGAAGAGTGAGCCCACCAGTTAAATTTCTATACATCTCTGTTAGCATATTCCAGATTAAAATGATTTTTTTCGGCAACCGTCCGGGAAAAATGAAAATCTCGGTAGGTATGGTTGTGGCAAATGCAGTTGATCATAACCATAGAACTGAAATAACAACAGCTTTTTCACATGAAATTGATTGACATTTCGATTTTTGGAAGTTTGCATGATTTTTGGTCGCAATTATCGCAAATAAACTATGGAAATCAGCAGCGATAGTGCAATAAAAAATACCACAATTATTGCCTTTCAAAGTTAAAAAAAATAATAATTGAAATGTTAGGAACTTTGTTTGTTTATAAACGAGTTACATACTATACTTTTTCTACGAACTCATAATTAATCTCTTCGACAAGATTCCATAATTCTGAATATTAGATTATAAACTATCTGCTAACCTATACACAATAATTCAAAGGGACTGGGAATTGAGAACATAATACATAATTCTATGCAACTGCATGCAACCAACGAGACATGTATAAGTTATATTGGTTGTAGATGTGCGTCCTGTCCATAGTATTGATAAATGTCTATTGTTGACCTTAGTGAATACGATTTCATATGATAAAAACTCTTCGATTCGCTGAGGTGTCAAAGTATTCGATTTCTCAGGTTTGAATCCATATTCTGATTACATAATTTTGCTCACATGAATATTTTGTTTTATGTTTATTGTTATGCTGAGCATAGAATGTATTGCTCATAAAGATGAGAGCTCTTGGAAGTACCTATCTAAACATTCTCTTCGATTTCAGTTTCGTCAACATTTCGCATACACTGTTAGTGAAGGATTCTGATGCAAACAAAAATTGTTTGCATAATATTAATGATTGCAACTAAATTCCAAAATGACAGTTGACAGTTGTTACAATTGACAGACCGGATACAGGACTCGAACGACTGAAGGTGTGCTGAAAAAACTCTGTTGCCATGGTAATGTGTTCAAGAAATGGTGTTGCCAAGGTAGGTAACGTGTTTAACATTTTGAATAAATCACAAATCGTTAATCCGTGATTAGTTGATCATTTAGCGTGGTACATATCCGTATGCTAAATGCCATTTCAGTTATGTGAGTAGAAAAAATAGTGTACGTAATACGTGTCCGAAAACAGTTCTTTTTTTGCATCATGCAGACTTCCAGGAGTCACCCACGACTCGACCTAGCATTTTGTATACTCGTCCAAAAAATTGTTTTTTCATACATGAAGAATATCATTATGAGTCAGGGACCAAGATTATATCTCTAGGCTTCAGCTGAGTGTTGTAAGGGTCCCGTGGAATAGTTTTACTAGGCAGCAGAGTAGCTGATTGATTGCCGCGGCTGATAGTTCATAGCCGACCGTGTAGAATTTCCTTGATAATATTTTTGGAGTACTATTATCATCAGTAGTAATGATATAAGTACCACAAAATATTCGGGTTATACATCGATAACTTGTTGCATAATTACAAAGAGTGTCAGTTTGACAGTTGAAATATATTTTGTTGGGCTGACACGATTTGTAATTGTGCAGGAAGTTTGAGATGTATAACCTTTGAAGATTATTAGGTTATAAGGTTATTTTTTGAGTAGTTCTGAGCGAACGTCAACATTTTACGACGCGCTTTGTTTTCATGTAACAATATGAATTGGTTACTATGAAATTAATTCTGAATTTCTGATTGGTGGAGTTTGTCTTCGTGTATCTACGTAAACTCGAGATTATACAAGGCAGCTTCATTTAAATGAACGTTCTGATTGGTTTGGAATCATTCGAAAAAAATAATCACTTATATAACAATGAAGAATTCCATGTCTTTTATAGCAATTCGAAAGCTAAAAGCTCTTCATTGACTGTATTTAGGTATCAAGTTAAATCGGTTAATACTTGATAACTTTCAACTATGACCAAGTTGAAATATCATTTATAATTATTCATCAGTGTTATTATAAAATATGTTTAATCCTTTTGTTTATATGGCTCCGGCCGTCACTTGATGGAAATCCTTAGTTAATGTGCAAAACTCCACAAAATTCTTGGAAACAAGGCATGTTTCGTGCATTTTCAACTTTTTTTCATTTCATATTTCATCAGCTACAATCCACAGTAACACGAATATCTGTCAGCTCTCATTACAAATTGAATTTGGGATACCTACATGATACTAAAAATGTAATTATTGTAAATTATCATTTGACGGCATTAAAAATACCTTGTCTTTTATACTAATCGACAAAATAATACCTTCCTGAAGCGTAAATACCATCTCGCTCTTCCTGCTTTCCTTGCTCTGCACTACCTTCGTCGGTATTGACATTGTAACCATATTCATATCTTGGGGGGCGCTGGAAATGAAAATAGGTACTTACGTAACCAGTTAGGAAACGCGTCATTTTGTGCGTTTCCTAACTGGTCACGTACTTTTTTTTTTAAATTGATGAAAAAATTCGCTTGTACAGAAATAATGACAAGTTCTACATGAGTTCTACAGATTATGTACAACAGTAGGCAATTAGTTGACTTCGCCCGTCACTTTTGAAATATTCATCAAACAATAAAATGATCAAGAAGTTTTCTTTCTCATATAAATATATTTTATTAAGGTTCACATTGTAATAACATGAATAATCAGACAGATTCATATCTGGTCTGAGATTATTCATGCGTTATCAAACCTAAGTTATTGAAATGAACAACAGAGACGAAAATGATAATAATAATAAAAAAAAAGATCTTATGAGAAGTGAATTATATCATGACGGAATAAATTAGTGAATGAAAAATCATTCACTCATGTTTGATTTTCTCTTTGCAAGAGGATATGTTTCTTGACTTTAGTTTTGAAGAGATTTCGAAATAGCTCCGTGAGTAAACTCTTTTTGGCCAAGTGTAGAATTAGCAGCATCAAGATGAAACAAGTCATATTTTCTAGTATTATGTTCATGAATTTGGCAATTCCTTACCAATATGAAGTTAGATTCGAGGTGTTTGTCGATAACGTCATAAGAAATTTCGAGAGTATTGATCAGGTAGTGCTCTTCCAAAGAAAATTAACGTGTTTCTTCATGAAGTTGATCTGATGGTATGACACATGGAAGAAAATACAGTACTTTTAATGTTTTCTTAATTAAAACAGCTATTTTGTTAAAATTATTCTTGGAACATGAACCCCAAATATTTATAAGATAGCCCATTTTATTGAGGATGTGAGAGTATAGAACGATATTTGCAATATTTGAAATTAAGAGAAAGAAGATTGGAGTGAAGCTATGCTCCCATTTTCTTCAAATCCTCATTTATGTTGTTTCCTAAAATTACAGGGTTTTTGTTTTCAAATAAAAGTACTGTGTCACCTGCATATATGGCATGGTTTCCTATCAAATTGATTTTTGAAATGTTTTGACTGTATAAAAGATACAGAATTGGGCCCAACACTGATCCTTGGGGAACTCATTTGTTTATATATAGTATTTTAGATTCACAATCTTTTTAGGTTCATAAAATAATTTATGTACCACTTTTCTCTTGAAAATCAAATTGATTCAAGTCAAACTCATATTTTTCATTGACGAAGTCAACATTTTTTTTTTATAATGTTTTCAAGTACTTTGGAGCGACGTAATTCACGAAATTGACTCGTTTGATATATTCATCTGTGGAAAATGGACGATTCAAGTTAAAATTTCCTTAATGATATCGAGAAACCAGTACAAAATGTACTCTTTTCGTCCATCCATATTTTTATTACGTGACTGGATATTGAAATCAACATTTCATCACCAGTTACCTATGTATTATTTTTTTACGCAACTGTTTTGGTGGAATATATAACCCTATTCATCAAGTGATTGAAAATGAATGTCTATTGAATTTTAAAAAAAAGCTATAAACAATATCTGTTCCCACTCCAGTGTTGAAGATACATCTCAAACTAAATCTAATAGCGATTATCTTCATGCATTTCCCTCCTTTAATCAAATCAAACCAACTGATACTAATCTTTTCTGGATTGACATATCGGGATTTGTGAATTATGAAAGCAACATACTGAATCAGGTTCCTTTTGTTGAGGTTCGACATATCCAGGTGGCTTCACAGCATCTCCATATATCACAGCCAGTAGGAGTATGGTCACCAACTGAAACATGAAGAACATTGTGGTTAAGCGGTTAGAGAAATGGTTGTGTATGCTTAGTATAATAATTATTGATATCAATGAGTACGACTCAGGCTATAGTATACAATTTATTTATTGAATAGCAACTCGAACGTTTTCCTAGTGCCTAGTGCCGAAAACGTTCGAGTTGTTATGCAATAAATAAATTGTATTCTATATAGCCTGAGTCGTACTAGCAGTGTAGTAGTCGGTGCTATCATCAGATTGAGCTCAAGGTTCCTGGCCAAACTTTACCCACTAATTTTTATATCCAAGTATTTATCTTGAGGAAGCTTGACAGGTAGAACATACAGGGTGTTTCGTTAATGATACAGACATACTCAGGGACAACCGAACCCATTAGCGCTGAGTTGTCCTCGAACATTATAGGAATTTCCTTTCGTGCGCTCCAAGAGATAAGAAAGCATGAGGCCGCAATCGAATGAGGACGGAAAATTGTAATTGGAAAGCATACTTTTCATATTTTCCAAGAGTGGGAGCTACATCACTCGTAGAACATAAAACAATAGAACAAATCTATGCGCACAACTATTTAATGCATTTTTTCGAATACTCAATGAGATGACAATAAATGAAGCAATAGTAGATATAATAAAGATACTAAAGCTCTGGAAAATAGGGTTTTCCAAAGCAATGTCATTTGATCTTGAATCCAGAAGAAGTCCGCCAGCGGCGTATTTATAGGTTTGGCCTGACCAAATTGCATTATTGATGTATAGTATATGTTTTTCAGAGGCATCAAATGATATTCTCCATGAATAGAGATATTTTTTTCGAATATTTCGTCAGGAGAAATGCCTAAATCAGTTTGGATAATGTGATATTGCTGGTGTTTCTTGACAATTTCATTATGGAAATAATATAATCGTATAATAGTTATTTATATACCAAGGTAGTAAATAATATAATATCATTATAACCCAGCGACCAAGATATAATATCCCGTGGTGATACCAAGGTGTATATTATATTTTCTTCCCCACAATAGCAATATATATGGACCTATTGTCACTATTAAAGCAGTCCTTTTCAATTATTCTAATCACAATCTAGTAGCCATGATCATGACAACATATAAAAAGCCGTTATTGATAAATATACCTATACTAGATCCGAGTGCCATGCATTCCTGCGAATCTCGCATCAGGAAAATGAATTCGAAGGTGGTTATGTCTTTATTGACTAGTGGTTCACGAAATGATGATGGTATACACACTTCAAGTCTCGAAAAAGAGGAATTAATGGTATATGGTTTTAAAGCTAGTGCTGAAAACACAGCCAAACGTACCTATTTTGGAATTGGTAGCTGAAAATTCACCAAGCTCTTGAATATCGATCATGAACACTAGATTTCGAGTTTTCTCAGTGGGAAGAAACCAATATTTCTAACGAAATATCCCAGTGCGAAATCAAAATGAAGTTAAGCTTTTCTACAGCGTCATATCTACAGCTATAATTACGTTATGCAATGGAAGATATTTACATTCGACAGAAAGCATAAAAGTTTTGATGGAAATTCAGGAAAACATTTCTGAACGATTCTCAAATTCAATATCTATAATTCTACTGTGGAAGTTCATGTTGTCTAAAAATGGAGTGTAGTAGTTGTGGAGACGACTGAAGTATTATTACTATATGATCTAAAATGCTCATAACATCATTGATATAAAATACGAACATGGATATGAACCTGAAGGGAAGTTGATGAGCCAGTAGAGAAATTATGTGAAGTGAAGGTTACTAATGAAATTTATAGGGATTATGAGTTTTGACCATTACCAATCTTCCAGATTTTTAGCTTACTTTTCATTATCACATTGCATGTTCCCATTTCGATTAACTGAAATACAATTACACTACCCAGCGAGCACAAACATCCCTGGGATGTTTTGGAATGTTTTGAAAATGTTGGCATGAAGATGTTATTCTGAGACGTGATTTGCACTGACCAAAGAGGTCTTTGAAGGATATTGAAGTATTGTTTTTGTTCTTCTGTGGCATTTCTTTGTTTGCCTACTGAGAGGTATTCCTGGGATGTTTTGGGATGTTTTAGAAATGTAGGCATGAGGATGTTTTTTTGAGGTGTAATATGCACTTCCCAAAGAGGTCTTAGAAGGATATTGAAAGTATCGTTTTTGTTCTTTTGTGCCCTTTCTTTGTTTGCCCCACCACAACGTCTCATGCTCACGTCACAATACGATGATTTCTGATTTGTTTTCGATTTTGTTCTTCTTGTTCGCAATTGGCATTCGCGTTTGCAGCGTGTCACGCTTACATCACGCTGCTAACGAACAGAAAGGAATTTGGTGAAGTTTATTGTGTTAGAAGACTTATTTAGTTTGTAATAATGACCATCAGATGCAAGATGTGTTGTTCGGTGCCTCAGTGGAATCAATTTATGAAAGTACGAATTCATCAATACACAGCTTCTCCGCAGTTGCAAAATTATGCATTGTGGGGAACATTTCAAAAATTGGGAAACCTATTTCCAATTATATGTCTGTGTGTAGTAAGCACTACTCAGAAACCGATTAAGAAGGTAATTTCATATCAAGAAAATATTTTTATGTTCAATCTATTTTTAATGCATTTTTTCATTCAAGGGAAATTGAATCCTAATGCAAAAGTTCATTTTGACAGAAGGCTTCAGAAAAGTACATCGAAAATGGTTTTTTTACAGCGATTTAATGTGCGCAAGACGCGTTGAAAATGTTTTGTTGTGTCCATGAGAAGGCTTCAAAAAGAACTGGGGAGAAGGTAGTTTGTGACATATCAAGGACATCTCGATAATTGCCGCATGCGGCGGACATTGGCTGTTCTATAATAGTTCTATTCATGTGTGAACAGAACATCGCAGTGGAGGTTCAATGTCTCGAAATCTCGTACTTTTAACATCTCTGAGATGTTTTTGTGCTCGCTGGGTACTATCGTAATAACGAGAAACAACATTGATATGTCATTTGATTTTCAGATTAAGATGTGGATCGACACGTGAATCCGTTTACCATCAGACTCACTAAAAAAAAAAAGTGAAATCGCAAATGAAACATGATTTTTGATGAATAGAAAAGTTATTCAATATCAATAAGTAACAATGAGTGATAAATTTTTTTGCGAGTATTGTGAGCAATGAATTTTAGTGCTCGTTGTCAATTAAATGTTTGTGCATTTGGAAGAATTCAGGCGGGGCCCATTTTTATAATCCTTGTCAATGAGAAACATATTTCTATTATGTATGAAAGATAGAAAAATAAAATAAGAGGGTGTATGAGAAACGATTTAAACATCATTCATGTTTTCGGTGAGGGCTTACAATATGTAACCTACCTACATGTTTATTAATATCGATTTTCTCAATTAACATCCTGTATTATTAGTATGTAAACGAATCAAGTCGATTTGTTCTGGTCCAAATAGCACCGCTTGACACTGTTAAGGATATCTGATGCCAACAATGATTCGGTCGGAGACCAATCATTTTTTATCATGAAAAATTTCATCTGTTCCATTTCACAGTTCACAGCTAGTAGGCACAGGAATCTGTCTTTTTTTCCTTGATGTTCAGTGAATATCAAGTTCATTGATATACCTTTGTGAACGAATATTGAGCCCAGTTGGCAAGATCTTTCAATAATCTCATTTTATGATGGAAATAACTATTTTTTCGAAAGCTCAATTGGTGAAAAAAAAACAGCGTAATGAGGATTTCGATCGAAATTTCAAGAATTAAACGACGAAAAGTGATACACATGGTTGACACTGGAAGATTCAATTCGTTTCTTCATCTATTCAACTCATCATCATACTCCATTGCTTTCATGTCATTATCATCAAATAGAAATACTAAACAATAAAGTTATTAATGACGAGACTGCGTTGGACCGCGAGAAATCAACATTGCAAATAAAAGGAACATAAATATTACAACAACAATGCCCTCATCCATTGTTCATAGTTTCTCTTCTGAAAATAAATCAAGATGTGATAATATCAGTCACTAATTATCAGAGCTCTCATAAAAGGTATTTACTAATATCATCTTGAACTGTTTCATTATTGCCAACTAGCAGCCAAAATGATTCGTATAACAATGATATTGTTAAGTCTTCATGACTGAACTAATTTGACTTCTAATATATATATATATTTGTATATCCTGTCATCCTGATAATTGCGAGGGGTAGACAACTCGTTGAGACTGGTGTACACTTGATAAGTGAGTATCTGTTGATAACATTTGAGTAATTTGCAACTTCTTGAGTATTTGATTATGTTGAGTACTCTTTGATACATTTTGAGGCATTCGAGACTTTTTACAATTGGCGTGTACACCTTATAGTAGAACTTTTAACTCAAACCATGCATGTTTATAATGATCCTTTTATACATAAATAATGATTGACGACATAATTCGATCGAAAATTTAACTGGAATGTTATATTTTTGGACATAAATATAAGTACCTTCTGAAAACGGACCCACTTATGACGTAGAAACCTTATCTCGCCATAGTTAAAAGAAAATACCAAACGCCCGACGGAGACTGAGGCAACTGATATATTAATTCTTTCAACTGTGATCTCCCGCTAATTCACTCTGTCAGAAATCATGTATCATTCTTCTCTGTCTGGAATAGTCTTGTTTCAGTATAAGGGTTTTGACGCCACATCATCGCCTCGTTTTCAGAGGTCCGAGAAATCGGGGATTTCAATAATTTTTTATAAAACGTATATAGGGAGCTCACAGCAAGAAACGGTTTGCGGTGGTGAGCTAGTTTGGGTGAGTTCTATCGAATTATGAAATACATTTTTTTTGTGATATAAGCCCATTGAGACTATTTTATTACATTTCAGACGATTTGATTATTTTTGAGACAATTTGATTGATTTGAAGTTGAGACTTGTTGATTATATTCGAGATGTTGTTTATTCAATTTTGAGTATTCGATTACATTCGATTATAGGTTGAGTACAGTTGATTAATTGAGTATTGATTATGGTGTACACATTTCGCTGGAGTTGTCTACACCTCGGAAAATTGGCCCTGAAGTAAAAAATGTTTATATATTTTAATAACAGCTCAGTGACTAGACCTTTCGATTACAGATAATTCCACAAAATATGATCAAGAATTCATTTATGATGAGTACTGGGTTGTGCAAAAACTCCAAAGTTGTTATACAACATCGATTTCTAACTACATGTTCCAGTACAATTTGGTACCTCCTATTCAACATATTTTGTTTTCAGTGATAAAGTAATTGCCATGTTCTTATATGATGAGTATAGTTTTCGAATTCAATATAAATGATTCGAGTTCCAGCTATTCAGAAAATGCATATTAAAGTTTATGACAGTCATCTCAATATATTCATCAGGAAATGCAAGATTCTCACCAAGTTTTTGGGTATGCGATTAGTTCAGCTGTGACTCTTAGAGGTTGGTTGATTCCGTGGGAAAGGGACCATCAGAAATAGTAAAGTAATATCGGGTTCACAGATATGAAAACATAATGTCTATATTATGCGGAAGCAATAACACGAATTACATATATTCTTTAATCAAATTATGTATTACTATATATGATTACTGATTTTACGACATAGCTTGCCACTAAAAAATCCCATTATATATTAATTGGATCTATCGTTCCCTCTAGCAAGCATGAATTGGATGTAATTAATCTTGCCATTTATACAAGGTGTTTCAAAAAAGGTGACCCCCTTGCTAGGGCAGGTAGAACACTGCATTTTTTACGATTATGTCGAGACAACTCATATAGAACGCTAGTTACACGCTTCATCAGGGTGTTTTTTCGATATCAAGTCAAAATAAGGTGAAAAAATAAATATTTCAAATCAAAAAAATTACAGTGTCTTTGGGACATGAAAAGGTGAGTTTTCACCAAATTTCTGGTGAATTGTTTCTTGCATAAGATGGAAATTAAAAACCAAAAACTTGATTATTTGAATTTTTCTCATACATTTTGAGGTTATGTGAAAAAAGTGTAATAACAAAAGTTGTAGGTCTCTTTATTACCTGAAACTTTGTCTTTAATATTTCTCCATTGGACTTGTGGTTTTGCCGGAAATCGAGATACACCGTTTTTTACCCTTAAAACTTACCCCCTATACCACTTCCCGAACTCAGATTACCCGTAAATTATTTTTCCTTCCATTTTTGTTATTTTCTCGTCGTTTTCTCAACGGGTTTCATCCTACTTTTATTTTTTTTTTGTTTAAAAAATTATCTACCCTGGTCTAAAAGGGTTAAGTAGCATGTTCCGACTTATCATCAACAAATGTACTGGGTGACCAAATTGGATGTCAGCCGAACGTGCGGTTTATTTTCCACAGAGGTGAAACATGGTGTATTTGAACTGGGAAAAACAGACAAACTAACGATCTTCTCCGTGGAACCAACGAAACCCCATTCAAACCGAGAAATAATAGACCTGTGCTGAAGCCTTTGAAAACGGTGAAATGTGAAGAAAAATCATAGTAGGATGAAACTCATTAAAAATGTAAGAGAATTTTTTCACTTTATATTGACTTAATATCGAAAAAACACCCTAATTTTCAATCGAAAATTCTAACGTCTAAATATCAGCTTTTTGAAAAAACTCGGGGCGTTTTTTGTTCGTTGAAATCTCTTCTTTTTGATAATGTGAAAAAATATATACATTACAATAGTGAATGTTCTCAGAAATGCAAAGAAAAGAAAAAAACTCGAATCCGATATTTTTTTTCATCACTATGTACAATTTTGGGCTGTTTTGTGAAATTTTCACTTTAATTACTTGAAAAACGTAAGATTTCATGATACATTGACAAACAAAAAAATTGCAAATCCATAAATCATAAAGATTGCAAGAAACATGCGAAAATAGTTGTTCAAAATATCAAAGATGGGATTCAAAGGGGGGATTTCAATAAAAAAATGTGATTGCTGCAATTTTTTTCAGTCAAAAAGTGATTTATTAAATTCTACTTACATTTTATGTCATAGAAAATATCATCATATATGAATAGAAATGTAAATCGTACTATTGAATTCAGATACTTTGTACTGATTATTATTATTCATAAAGATATTTTTAATAGTTATTTATGCAACAAGTGCAAAAAGTGAATGATTATTGCACTCGACGTGAAATTGTCCGACGAGGCCGTTAGGCCGAGTTGGACAACACGTCGAGTGCAATAAACAATTTTTGCACGAGTTGCATACAAAATTTTTTCTACGTTCATGCAAAAAGCAAAAAATGATTTATTGAGGTGCGGCACTAGGTACAATTCTGTTAATTGTCAGAATTAATTTTTGACTGACGTTTCTATAACCACTGTTGCAATATAAAAAATGTTTATCATGATGACAGCACGTTGAAGTAGAACGACAGATGAGTGCAATAAAAACTTTATTGCACCAAGTGCAATGAAGAACTTCTTTTTCTACTAAATATAGTTCAATAAAGTTCTGCTTTTTGCATGAATGTAGAAAAATGCATTTATCTTCTTATTCATAAGTCTTATCTTGAGCCGTAATCACTTATTCATTACTTTTTGTCTCTTCGGTGGCATTTCTTCATCGTTAGATTCGACAAACCTTCCCGATTCTAGTAGATCTTTGAAATCCTTAAGACCATCACCGTCTTCGTATCCAATATTATTTTTAGTCTGAATTGGTCCTTCATCCACAATTTCATCTGAATCACTAAATTGCAGCAATCACATTTTTTTATTGAAACCCCCCCTTTAAATCCTATCTTCAATATTTAGAACAACTATTCTCGCATGTTCCTTGCAATCTTTTTTAAAGTGTAAATTTCACTGAATAGCTCAAAATTGTACATAGTGATTAACAAAAATTCAGATTCGAGTTTTTTTCTTTTCTTTGCATTTCTGAGAACATTTACTTTAGTAATGTATATATTTTTTTACATCATCAGAAAGAAGAGATATCAACGAACAAAAAACGCACCAAGTTTTTTTAAAAAAGCTGATATTTTGACATGAGAATTTTCGATTGAAAATTAGGGTGTTTTTTCGATATCAAGTCAAGATAAGGTGAAAAAATAAATATTTCGAATAAAAAAAATACAGTGTCTTTGGGACATGAAAAGATGAGTTTTCACCAAATTTCTGACGAAATTTTTTTTTGCATAAGATAAAAATTAAAAACCAAAAACTTGATTATTTGAATTTTTCATATACATTTTGAGGTTACGTGAAAAAAGTGTAATGACAAAAGTTGTAGGTCTCTTTATTACCTACAACTTTGTCTTTTAATATTTCTCCATTGGACTTGTGGTTTTGCCGGAAATCGAGATACACCGTCTTTTACCCTTAAAACTTACCCCCTACCACTTCCCGACCTCAGATAGCCCATAATTTATTTTCGTTTTCATCTTTGTTATATTCTCGTCCTTTTTCAACGGGTTTCATCCTTCTATTTTTTTTTGTTTGAAAAATTATCGACTCTGGTCTAAAAGGGTTGAGTAGCATGTTTCAACAAAAAATTGGATGTCAGCCGAACGCGTTGTTATTTTTCCACAGAGGTGGAACATGGTGTATTTGAACTGGGAAAAACAGACAAACTAGCGATCTTCTCCGTGGAACCAACGAAACCCCATTCAAACCGAGAAATAACACGCGACACACGCGCGCAAAGTGCATCGGACAAGGTGAAGGTTGCATTTCACTCACCTGTATCGCGTCTAACGCCATGGTCCACCTTGAACTAGCAACTGTCACGAACTGAGGCGAGCACCAGAGGCTGCTAGATCACAGGCCGAGATACGCACAGATCGCGGCTCCGGAGAGATGATTGGGCTCTCTTCGACTGATCTCTTTTAGAAATGTATCAGAATTCCATCTGAATCCTTGCACCGGGCCTTTCACCTGCCCAGCCCAGCGTCCAAACAAGAAATTTACATGCGGCCGAGCGATATATGGGTATTACGCGAGGACCGCTTAGATCTGATTATATATTTTACTACTACACTTATCGATTATGCAAACGGTTTCATTTGAACCTACCAAAAAAAATGCTTCAACAGAGGAAACATTTATTTTCTTCCCGGGAGGGAAGATGGCATTTTAATTCCTCCCTTGTTTAGCTGTCGAAAATGCCTTCTTCTATTACACATAAAAACAATTTCTCCATTGAGGATGATGAATTTTTTCAATTCTGAATTCTTGAACTGAGAAAACACCTTCTTTTTATATTCCTAAATGATTTATTCTATGCAAAGTTTTCGAATATCTCACAGTGAAAAAAAAATTACACCAGTTCACACCAGCTAACACCCTTGGGTGTCCCCTGAGGTCCTGATCATTTTAGTGGGAATTAACTCTGATATTTTTAACACCATCATAGGGTGTCATTCGTTCTTACATACAGTCAAGAACTACACTAGAGTATCTAGAGCTAATTTGATCGATTCGTGTTATTCAACACCAGAGTATGGTGACTGTACAATCATTTGGTGATTATTTTAACACTGTATCTGTTGCGTTTTTGCTTTTACTGATGATATTATGATAATATGTGAATATTTGTCGGATATTCTTCTGCTGTGAAAACACACTTATCGAGTGTTATCACGCTGAGAAGCAGTGTTTTCTTGTATGCATCTGAGTGTTGAATAACACGACTCTGATATACTAACATTAGTATTCAGTGTATAAAACGATCCAATGTAGTGAGAATTGTGACTTACAAAACATCTCTGAGCTGATACTATTTGTAGGCTGTCGAGAAACGTGCGTCGAAGGAGCGCTAGTGTCACCATCTATCAAGAAATTCACTAAATATTTTTCTGTGCACAAAATTTCTACTTTGATATTCAATTTTATGTTCAATCTGGTTCAATATAAGTACTCTATATCGCTTCGCAATATAGAAATCATCATATATAATTTATGAATCAGCTTAAAGTTTATTTAATTCATTATTTTCACGAAATCATCCGTTCTTATTGTCACCTATCAATCTGGATGCCAGAATTCTTGGATGATGATATACCTACACAATGTCAATCCATTCTTCAATAAGTTCAGGTTTTTCAGTGGGTAATTTCATAATCAGCAAACATTATTTATTCACATGGGAGAATGCAAGACGATGATGCCCCAAATCTCATAATTCATACACGATTCTGATTTGTTTGTGATTGGTGAGGGTGTAACTAGGTGATAATTTTATATAATAAGTGTATTTTTTGCGTTAACTTGGATGATACCACTATCGAAAGTAATTACTTTTCATCCTGTTGGTGTTTCTCTCGAATCGATATTTCAGAACTCCTCTAAATTACCACATCCGTGTAATTTTTCACTATGACTGTGTGAATTGACACCACTGTACACGGTATTATCAAATTTCTAATAATATTGGTATGAAATTGCTAATCAAGTGTTGATTCAATCGGGGTTATTTTTGAAACCCACTCGGTTGAAATTACACCCGGAAATTTTTCACTGTATAATGTGTATTTATTTGGTTTCATCATATACTCTCTATCCAAGTAATTCAACAATATTTAGTAGAGAAAACTAAAGTTCTTGGACATAGGTAACTCGAAATCTCTTGTTCCAGGACACTATGAAAAATATTTCTTTATTGAAGAAATGAGCTGAACATTTTTATCAGGAGAAGAGGATTTGTTATTCCATATTCTTGAATCAATCCTTACACATTCTTGAATATCTTTGCAATTTCGTCTTCAAGGTTGTGTTGCAAAACGTACGAATACGTACCCATTTATAATTATTTCAACTTGGCCAAGTCTCAAAATCTTCTTGAATGTTATTCATCATCCCTTCCATACCTATACCTCTATCTATACGAGAGTAAAAATAATTATAAATTCAGAGTTATGAATGTGTTTCAAAGTCTGTAGCATTCAAAATACCTAGGTAGATAATTTGTAATAGGAACTTCAATGAAAATTGACTTTTGTGTATTTCTTCAAATTTGTTGCTGAAAGAAATTGAAAAAATATAATAGGAGGATGAGATAATATACATATTGATTATAATATAGTGTAACGTAATTCCCCTTAACGGAGCACTAGAATCATCAGCAGGAAGGCAGGAGTACAACAATCATCCTGTAACACGCATCCCAGATCGTTCTCTAACCTCCCAATGATTCCTACATGCACCAGCATATTTCCGAACACTCAATATATGCCGCAGTGACAAATAACGTCACAGATGATCCTGGAATGTTCTGGAAACAATCGATGGAACAATTAGAGAGAGAGGTTTTGTTCTAAGAAGCTTCTAGAACAAAAAGAAGGAGACGGAAGATTATTCGAGAACGTTCTGGAACCAAAGCCTGCCAAGTGATCTCATATATAAACGACCGAACAACTGCAATCGATCAGTTAAGCAGCGAGTGTCAGAGAGACAGTTATATACCGCGTGATATAAATCGTTTCACATACATAGTAGTTATAAGTTCGATATAAATTAGTGTTTCTTTAGTTTAAATAAATCAGTTCGAAAATAAATAGTGTCGTGTTCGCTTCTGCACCCGAATAACGTAACAAATATCAACTTCAATTATGAAAGTCGGCAACACTGTCCAAGTCGCCCGCTATTGGAGTTTTTGTTTTGTTTACCTGGTTTACCACACTTCCATTTGTCTAGCTGCCCTATGGGCCACGCAGTTCGTTCGACAATAAGTATTTCATCTTTGGAAGAAGTCCATGGTAACTCAAAGTGGAGTGGTGTAGTTCATAGATGAAAACCCAAAGTCATCTCCACAACTTTTATTTAATGATCATAGATCATATAAGGGAACATGTTTCGGGCTTATATAAGCCCATCATCAGCCAAGAAAATGTAAAGTTATGGAAGTGAAAATTGTTGCAATATGTATACAATAAGCAATAACGGAGCAAGCAAAAGCCATTGCTCCATGATTGTTTATATGATAAAAATGTTTTTTAAAAAATTTTTAATAAAGTTGAAGGTTGATGGTCGGGAACATATTTAAGTAAAATAATTTTACTGTTCAGTGCTTCCGCACATGTGATTCTTTTCTTGGTTATTTCCGAAGCCACATCTTTCTTATTACAAAAGATTGATATTTGCAAGTTTAATTACCACTTATCGGTGATTTAAGGGTACCGTGGGCCCTTATTAAATATGTTCCCGACCCCCAACCTTCAACTTTATTAAAAATTTTTAAAAAAACATTTTTATCATATAAACAATCATGGAGCAATGGCTTTTGCTTGCTCCGTTATTGCTTATTGTATACATATTGCAACAATTTTCACTTCCATAACTTTATATTTTCTTGGCTGATGATGGGCTTATATAAGCCCGAAACATGTTCCCTTATATGATCTATGATCATTAAATAAAAGTTGTGGAGATGACTTTGGGTTTTCATCTATGAATAAGTATTTCGGTTGATTTTCTGTTGAAGTGCAAAATGACATACTGACATGAGTATTTGGATCAGCATACGGAATGGAAGAAAAACTGCAAGAATGAGAAATGATGAATTGAAACAAATAGGAAATACATCTTTCACCATATAGTCCATACTCGAAGTTGAGCGGAACGACCAAGAAAGAAAAGTTTCGAAGTCGTAGTCACGAAATTGATTGGCGAATGTATGCAGTTGATTCTGCTCCAAGAAGGTTTGAGACATGTTTCGACCATTCGAATGGTCATCACCAATCATAGATATCAAAGGTGAATCTACAATGGCTGAAATATACTATACAACATGCGAAAATCAACTTTATCAGTTAAAAGTGACAGGAAATTATATACTACTATCAAAATTTGGAACATGTGTAACTGATAAAAATCAAGAATCTGATAACTACGGAAGTGTTTTGGTATTCACGAGGTTATATAGCGATTGAATATAGTTATAGAAGGATATTGAAATAGTCAATCGTAACACTATTGTTGTTATTAGATTCTTGATGTTCACCAGTTACACATATTCTAGGTTTTGATACTTGTATAATTCCATCATGGGAATGAATCATCCTTGGGTATATACAGGCTAATTCACGGTGGATGGCACATTAGACGTTTATGGAGAACGGGACATAGGATCATTCTGAATTTCACGCAGTTGCTCTTGGTCTATCGATCTGAAATATTTTCAGCTCTGCAGCGTTGCCGCTTCTATGGAAAAGTAGCAACAACTTTGTTACTTTGAATGAAACACCCTGTATTTTATTGCATTCTCAGATTCTCTCTCAAGAGCTGATTTCATCGATGTATCACACTTGGGGTCTAGCGGAAATGATTACAGAGATATAGGGCGTGAAAAATCGACATTTTTCAACTTTAGGAATATTTTTTGTCGAAACTATTCATTATTGGTCAAAACGGCTCACATGTCCCTATCTCAACTTTTGATCAACTATCTACTGACATTTAATTGAAACAAATACAGGGCCGTGCAGAATTCAGAATCTTGATCACCCGGTATATCTCTCAATTAAATATCAGTAGATAGTTAATCAAAAGTTGAGGCAGGGACATGTAAGCCGTTTTGACCAATCATGAATAGTTTCGACAAAAAAAATTCCTAATGTTGAAAAAATGACAATTTTTCACACCCTATATATCTGTAATCATTTCTGCTAGACCCCAAGTGCGATGCATCGATGAAATCAGCTCTTCAGAGAGATTCTGAAAATAATGTAATAAAATACAGGGTGTTCCATTTAAAATAACAAAGTTGTTACTACTTTTCGATAGAAGCGGCAACGCC